TCTGAAGCATAATGAACAAGTTCTTACATGGTGAACAAGTTCTTACATAGTAAGTTCTTACATGGTGAACAGTACAAGGGCAGTCATCACAGAAACTTTCAGTTTTGATCACACATTATGAACTATAAACAATCAGGTCAAATATGAATATTCGTTTGATTTTTATACTTGATTTATATGTGAATCCCATATTTCTCCCTTATTATTATTATTATTATTATTGTTATTTTTAATAAAATGCTGAAGTGGTAGGTAGATTCAAGATAAAGGTAGAAAACATAGTTAGGTGCTGTAAGAGAGCAAATTTAGATGATCAGGTGTGTGCCTGTAGACTAAGTGTTAATCCAAGCTAGACAAGGGCAATAAAATGACCACGGATGCAGAAGATTTCTCTCAAAACAGGGGGGGTGAGGTTCTAAGCCTCACCTCTGTTGATTCCCCAATTTCTCACCTGATGGCCCCCCTGCGACTGTGCCTGTCTTAGGTTGTTCCTCCCTTGAGGAATCTTATCCGTCTGTGGCTAACCAGTCATCTTCCGGGGGGCTTCTGGCTTTCTTGTATCTCTTAATTATAAGAAATGGTCCTTTCTCAGCATGACCCACATGGAGAGGCAGTTCTCAGGGAGGCAGGCGATTGCCCAGGCCATACTGTACCATGGGCCAATGTGGCAAATGTTTCCTTGCCCAGCTAAGGGTCCCAACTGGAACCAAAGTATATACTTTGCCATCCTAACATTTTACTACATTGAACTAGGAATTGCCCAAAAAAAAAAAAAGGAATTGCCAAAAAAACCCAATGAGGATTAAAAAACCCTAAAGTCAAATCTACATCTCCTAGGGAATCCTGCAGAGCAGCAATGGAGACAGCCAGGGCTGGGAAACATACCTGGTTGTACCGTTACATTCACATAGCCTTCCCCGTGGGCATTCTGACCATCTACACTCACTTTGAATTCATACAGGCCTGGAGTAAGCTGCAGAAGAGAAAGGAGATCTTTTAGACAAACACGAAGAGCAACAATTATTAAAATAACACAAATATCTGAACTTTGCCATGCTGATTCTTGCACTCTCCTTTTCTTGCACTGTATCCAAACTGGAGAAAGTAAACTAGCTGAAGAAGTGAAACAATGAATTATAAACTAAAAAAACCATAGCTTTTACAAAAACTATGAAGAAACAAAACAGCAGCAGACTCACAGAACCCAAGAATGGACTAACAGTTACCAAAGGGAAAGGGACTGGGGAGGGTGGGTGGGAAAGGAGGGATAAGGGGAATAAGGGGCATTTTGATTAGCACACATAATATAAGGTGGGGGCACAGGGAAGGCAGCATAGCACAGAGAAGACAAGTAGTGATTCTATAGCATCTTACTATGCTGATGGACAGTGACTGTAACAGGGTATGTGGTGGGACTTGATAATGGGGGGAATCTAGTAACCACAATGTTGCTCATGTAATTGTATATTAATGATAGCAAAAAACAAAACAAAACACCATAGCTTTTAATGTGAATTTTATTACTAGCTGACTCTAAAACAACAAAAGGGATTTCACTATCTCTGTTCTCCCATTTTCTTTTCAGGAGAACATTAAGGGCCTAACCACCCTACTTCACAGAGTTATGAAATTAAATGATCATCTCTGCAAGAAAAACATTTTGTAAAAATACCAAATAGCTCCCAAATATCTCAATACTTTTCCCTCCCGATTTCCACTGTTTAAAAATCACCCATAATCCCACTGTCCTAACACATCAATTAATCATATTTATTTCCTTCCAATCCTTGACCACACACAAAAATTAGTTTTAAATAGTACATTTGTTCAACAAACATTTTTTGAGAACCAATTATGTACCAGTCATTATTATAGATTTGGTGCTTAGAAATGAGTAAGGTAAGATTCCTACCTTCTAAGAGATATTTCAATGGTATTCAGGGTCTAACTATCAATCAAAGTGTGTATGAAACTTTTTATTGTTCTTTCTTCCACTCATTTAGCATGAACACTTTCCCCATTATAACAGTCTTTTTAATAGTCACTTTAATGGCTGCAGAATACTGCATGAATTAAATGTGCCATAATTCACATAAGCATTCCACAGTGTTGGATATTTGGATTGTTTCCAAAGGTTTAGTATTACAACTAGTGCTGTGATGGACACCTTTTGGACAAATTTATTTTGAATTATCCTCTTTGGGTTGCTGCTAATCAACTGCATGTGGCATTTCTGACAACTTCCTTCTTGTAATGCTCTCCTTCCTTGGCTTTCCCATCTCTGCTCACTCCTCCTTTTCCTGCAGTTTCTCTTCCTTCCATACCTTTAATGACAATATTCCCATTTAGCAATCCATTTATTTCTTCACGCTACACACTCTCTCTGATGATCTATTACCATGGCTTCAACTGTCATCTATCTGAGGCGAGTGTGCAAATTTACCTCTGTAGCTCAGACTTGTAACCTGATCTCTAGCCCCCTTCCTCCCAGCTGCTTAGTGGACACCTCCACTCCAATGGTTCCCAACTACTTTGAACCCACTCTGCTCAAACCTCCCCCAAACCTGCTCCTCTTTCTGTGTTCCTCATTTCAGTGAATATCACCACAATTGCACCAACATCTATCCAGGTGCTTAAGCCAGAAGACTAGTATTACCCTAGACTTCTCTTCCCCCAAACCTCCACCCAATTAATTGATCAAGTTTTATCAAGTCAACCTCCATAATACTCCTCAGATCCACTCACTTCTCTCCATTCACTATGTCATTGCCTTAGTTTTTTTTTATTGAAGTATTATTGATATATAGTACAATTTTATGTTAGTTTCAAATATACAACACAGGGGTTCAACAATTACCCATATTATTAAATCCTCATCCCCCCTAGTGTGGTTACTATCTATCAACATAGAAAGATGTTACAGAATCACTGACAATATTTCCATGCAGGTGTGGGGGAGGTTTGGACTGAGTGGGTTCAAGGTACATACCATCCCTGTGACCAATTTATATTGTGATTAGCCATCACCTTAATTTTTAAACATTCATCATAGCATAACTGTTGAAAGCATGGGCTTCAGAGATGGAAAGTTAACAGTTCAAATCTACTGTTTAACATCTTTGTAAATTTTGGCCAACCCACTTTATTATACCAATTTTTAGTTTTGTAATTTGTAAAATAGTAATATCTACATCTTGGGATTATTATGAACATTAAATAAAATAACTGCATAAAACAATTAGCACTGTGTCTGGCACATGAAATGAGCTTAATAAATGGGTCTTAAGTTTTATCTCATTTATTTAGGGTTTTTACTCAAGCTATTATCATCTCATACCTACATGTTTCAACAGATCTTCACTGGTCTCCCTTGTTTGGGTCCTACCTCTTCCAGACTGCAGTCAGGATGATCTTTCTAAGCTGATATCTGAACATGTCTTTCTCCTGCTTAAAACCTTTCAAAGGCTCTATTTCCTCTGGATAAAATTCAAAGTCCTTATTATTCCAGCATATAAGACTCTATATGATCTGGCCCCTGCATCTGTCCAATGTACTTGTGCCATTGCTCTTCTCATACCACAGGGTCCAGTCAGGCTGAACCACATAGAATATCTTTTTCCCCAAATTTCTCTCTAATTATTTGGCCTAGTAGACATACTGCTTCCTCTGTTTGGGGTATTATCACTCCAACTTCTACCCAGTTAGGGACCTTTCATGATCCTACCAGGCAAACCCTAAGAAATCTACTCTAGCTCCCCAGGGCTTCAATTCCCCATGTATTAACCTGTGTATTCCATTATAATTACCTGTTTCTGGTATCACCTACTTGACTCTATTGTCCTTGAATGTTAAGATTACAATTAATCACTGGTATATCCCCAAAGCCTGTCACATAGTAATGTACAATAAACAGTTGTTAAAGAATGAATGAATGAATGAATGGGATTGCGTGGCCAAAGAATATGAACATTTATATGGCTCTTATAAATACACTGAATCCCAAAAAAGACTGAGCCAGTTTACCCAGTCATGTGGCCACAAAAATACCAGTTATCTCCCAAATTCTAAAATCCTTATGTTACCCTTAAAAGTTGTTTATTGTATATTTTCAGCTATCACCACCATGCTTATATGGTCTTCCCACCATAAATGAAAATTTGAGAATCAGACACTAACAAGTATTGGATGTCAGCCAATCTGCCTTTGGAGGATTCACTTTTGAGAGATAGCTCCTGACTTAAGTGTGGACAGAAAATTCTAAATTACACATTTTAGAAAATGGTCAACACCTCCACCCAGCCCTGAAAAATGACAGAAGGCAAATTCACCTTGGAGAGTTTGAGGAGGTGGGAATGTTTCCCTTCCATTTCTCCACTGTAGTCTTTAGGATGAGTAATCAGCTGCCAGTCGTAGGTGTAGGTTTCTCCTATAGAAGGGCAGTTACAAAAATCATGAAAACACACACCTACACACAAAGAGGGCAGCCACACAGCCTGCCAATAACATATCTCTTCTAAATCTTGACAAGGCCTTAGTTTTTAAGATTTCACCCCAAAGCCTTTAGGGAAACCAAACATTCTGTTGAAAGTAGGTGGAATCTACTGACTCAGCTATAGTCAGGGCTTCTCCTCTCTCCCAGCAATGCTTATTCCTGCCCCATACCCACCATGCTCAGGGACTACCCTTCCTCAAAATACTAGGTTGTTCATGGTGCGGTGACCCAGTGAAAATAGTTGCCTTCCCAACCACTACAGATGGACTCAATGGGAACAAAGGACATTTTCTTGTAAAACTTCTTTTGCAACAAAGAACAGCAATGACTTCTAAATAACATGGTTCAAAAATAGCTTTTTACAGAGTGCTAACAATGCTTGTCTCACTGAGGTCATCACACCCTGGTGAGTTAAAAGAGCTACTTCATTCCTGCTGAGCTAAATAACACACTGCAGAAGATGGTAGGAGATGGCCCATTTAAAACAGGCCCCACTGAAATTAATTAAGATCAAATGAAGCATTAAATGATTCTCATTTGTAGCTCAGACTATATGACTGGGTAGAGCAAGGATAGAATACTGCTACCTAAATGGAATCCCTCACCAGTAAAAGTGGTCTTAAGGGTTTTTTTGTGGAACAAAATGCATTTCGGCTAGGAAAGGGTGGGATTTGGTGGGAAGGTTTAGTTTAGATTACTACCCAAAAGTAAAAAAAGAAAAGGAAAAAAAAGAAACCTCAAATACTTGGCAGTGGTTTTTTCCCTTATTTTATGAGTCAAAGTTAAAGTTAATAGAACTAATTTCCAAGATAGCCTTCATCTTCAGACCAGATTTTATTTTATAAGCCTGAGAAACAGGATCTATACTCTTCCTTTCTCCCCAAAATACTAGTTTTGTTTTGGCTAGTTATCAGTCCCAAGAAGCTCTCACACAAATGTATTCTGTGGAAGTTAGATTAGATGAGGAGCAGGCAAAAAGCAGCAGAAGTAGTACTGGTGCTGAGGTGACATTTCTTCCAACTATAGTTGGAAATTTTTTCCCCACACAGAAAACAGACTCACATTAGTTTGGGATCCGACAATTTTATAGTATCCAAGGCTAGCAACACAAATTTCAAAAAAGGGCAATATTCTTAGGACAGAAGCTCAGGGGATGAATTATACCTTACAGCCAGAAATCTGCCCAAGGGAACAACTGAGTATAAATCTGTTAGACAGAATGCTAGATTTTATGATTTAGGGCAGTGGTTTTCCAACTGTGCCTCCAAAACCTACAGGGCCCCTGAGAGGTGCTTCAGGGACTGCCACAGGATATGGGGATAAAGAGCAGGAAGAGCTGGTCTCGCCTCATTGCTCCCAACCTTTGAAAGTTTGAAACCATCTATTTCATATAACTGATGAAGATAGCTGAAGAACATGGGGAGAAGAGAGTTGAAAACAATCCATTTCTCAACTGGTATGTTTTAGAATACTGAATCTACAAGGGGATGTTAACTCACAGAAATGTACATCCACATAGGGGTTAGAAAAGAAGATATAGTAAAGCCCAGCATATCTTCCACATAAGAGTAGAAGCGGTCACAGCTCAAAGCAGTTCCTTTCTCACTCCCATCTTCAAAGGTCACCAAGTCCATTTACCTTCACTTACCACCAAAGGAGGAAAGGAAAAACCTTCTCTAGAGGAAGATGAAATAAAGTGGTAAGGAAACTCAGCATGAGGGCAGAAATACAGAAAAGGCAGAGCATTCAGGTTCTGGAAAAGAACTTTTTGCATAAATACACTATTTGGTATTGGGTCCAGAAAGTAGGACAACTGTATTGGAAATGTGTGTAAGTACAATGAAACGACCCGTCCTGAATAGAGTATGATATCGTACTTGACTGACCCCATGTCACTATTTTCCATCAAAGAAGGCTTCACTTCCTATCAGTCTTAAGGGGGTGCATATATGTTTATAGGTCAAACTGCTATATTACCATATATTCTGAAGGTGACAGGAAGCTCAGATTACAGAAGTTTTCTTAAATAATGAATCAATCATCCCCTCATTATATATCTTAAAATTTAAATTTTGTACATCATGTTAGGCTTGTCCTTTTTTTAGAGACAAATCTATATTAGCAATAGTCTTGGATAACTTCACTTCAAGTTCTATATTTGCTATGTACTAGTTGTTTGGCCAAAATAAGTATGTTAACCTGAGCCTCGGTTTCTTCCTCTTTTCAAGGGGTATAATATAACCTACTTTAATGAGCATTAGCTGCATGCTAGGCACTGAAGTAGGTACCTTATATACCATTTTATTTTGCTCTTAAAGGAACCTTATGAAGTAGAAATAAGTGTCCTTATTTTACTGATGAAGAAATGCAAACTTAGAGAAATTAAATTATTTGCTTAAAGTCATTCAGCTAAAGACTGGCTGAGCTGGGATTTAAACCTACGCTTGACATCAAAGCTAATGATCTCAAACATATTATATTGACTCTTGTATTACATAAATATTTGTGCATGCACTTGCTATATCTTATTCTCACAGGACTGTTGCAATGAGTAAGTTAAGGTATGTAGATATTATTATAAATTAAAACATTATCAGAATGAAGGAGATATTTTACCTTCAGGTGGTTTCTGGAGTACATATGCATTTAATTTAACTTCATTCTTAGGCAGGATAATCTGGACACTCTCTCCAGCAGATACGACCAGTTCCTTTGTAACTGGAAACAGAAAATATACAAGAGATAAGCAATTAGATCCAGATTATCTTATTTCTTCCATTTTTTGTGGCCAAATTTATTTTATAAACAATATTCAGCTACTACCTTCATTTCTTCATTATTTATCTACTCTCTAATCCCCTAAAATTTGATTTTGCCCCAATTTCTCCACTGAAAAGGATCTTTGAAGGTCATCAATGAAATGCTTCTTAGCAATCTAATAGCTGTTTCTCAACGTTCATCCTTCACTTCTGTGGTATCTAGTACTGCTAACTGCCTCCATCTTAATACTCTTGGTTATCATGACACCATATTATTCTACTTTTCTTCCTTTCTCTGAGTTTTTCTCCACTGCATTTTAACTATGGTCTATCCCTAAGCCATCTTTACATAGTACTTCCCAAGAGTTCAATAAATGGAGTTCAACTCTCTTTCAAGGATCATCTGTATGCTAATAAATAACTTCCTAATGAAATACACATGCAAAGTTCCTAGAAGAAAAGGCAAGTGCCTGTCACAAGGCCAACCTTAACTTCTTTCCATTCCAGTTGCTACAACTATAGACTTAGATTATTTCAAGAATATTAATTGGTTTCCCCTCTGCTAGCCCTCCCTACCCTAATCCATTCTGTAAAACACCCAGCACCATTAGTTTTTCAAAAATACTAACCTACCATGTTATTTACCTATGTAAGACCCTCCACTTCCATCCTATGTTTAAGACCAAACTCCTATCTTCTCATTAGAGAAGCATTATCTGATCACACCTCCTCACCTTTTCTACCCAATTCTGCCTCTAGTTTTATCACTTTCCCTCTTGTGCTCCAAAGAAGCCATGCTCTACTCTTGGGGACTTTGCTAACGCTTTTTCCTTTAATTGCAGTATGTGCTTGATTCTAAATACAGTCATTTGTTTCTAGCTTAAAGCCAGTCTTCTCTCCAAAACAATCTTCCCAAACCATTTCAATTCAAACTGATCTACTTCCAGAACTACTTTAGCATTTTTGGAACACCCATGTCAGCTACTACCTATAAACTCTTTTTATACTTTTCACTAGCTATTTCATACATGTGAGAGTTTCTCAGCCTTAGCACCTTTGACATCTTGGACCAAATGATTCTGTTTTGCAGGAGTGGGGCGCTGTGCATTGTAGGTATTTAGCAGCATTCCTGCCCTATACCCACTAGATGTCAGCAGCATCCCTCCTCCATAGTTGTAATAAACAAAAATGTTTGCAGAGTGTTGAGAACTACTGATTATATAAATCTTATTTCTCTAACAATAATTGTTCATTTAGTATGAGACCTGGAGAACTTAACACGAACAAGTGGCTGATCCACCCACATTTTAAGACTGGGAGGCAAGAAGGGCCTCCTACACAAGTTTAAGAAATTTGAGATTTACCTCTCTGCTTGGCAACACTGCACTTGGGGAGAAATGAAACCATTCACTATAGAAGAGTCAGCACTTAGACACCCCATGAGGTGGAATAAGAATTCTTTGAATGAAGAAAGGGTGGAAAGAAGGGAGGAAGGACAAAAGAAAAAAGAAAAAACCACTATACTCAAGACAAAATATAATGGACAAAAATACAGTGCAGCCCAAACTCTTCATAATTATACAAAAAATTATAGGCATTCTGCCTGAATACAAAATCTACCACAGTGCCCCAGGATTGAAATCCTGAAATTTCATGTTATATTACCATCAAACGAGACCCTAAGAAATTAAAAACTGGCAAAAATTTGTTTTCACCGGCTTTGCTTCATCTTGTTGACTTTTTCAGGGATAAAGATCAACTTAGTTTCTTTGATTAACAATTTCCTCCTAATACCTTAGACCAGCACTCATGAAGCACACAGACTTGTTGTTAAGGCAACACTCTATGTATAAACCTCCTTCCTATGGGTTGTTTTAAAAATAAAGATGCTGTCAGAATCAGACAAATATCTGACCTAAAATCAGCCATTCAGAAGACAAATAGGTACACAGATACAAATTTTTCTTCCCAGTGGTTTTTGTTTGCTTGATTCCTTCAATTATTTAACTGAATCTTGTGCTTTTAAGTCCCAAGCACAGTGGAATGTGGCTTGGGAAAAAGGAGCCTCATAAATTCCCATAAGCTGGGGCCTGTTGAGAAAAGGATCAAGAGCCCCAGGTCCTATGATTACAGGGACACTGACAGGATTGTTTTTTCTCTAACCAACTCCATTCAAAGCCATGCCTGCCTCTTTTCTTTCTGCTAAAAGGGAACACTTTGATCAAATGCTCTACTTTCCCATCCTATCTCCAAGGACAGATGCAAAGGGCCTCACCTGGGTGTGATGCTGAGGTGCTCTGCAAAGATGCCTGGGGGGTGGGGGTGGCATAACTGTAGGAGGGAGCCACTGGCTCAGGGGTGGCAATCTGGATTCGCCCAGGGCTTTTTACTTGCTGAGTGCTAGGTGTAGTACCAGGATCCTCAGATGTCTCAGGCTGGACTGACACATTCTTTGACCAACCAGGAATCTCTGCAGTCAGGACTGTGGTTAAGGGACTGGAAATTGTAACTGCCTTGTGGACCTAAAGAAATGCAAAAATTCATTTGAGTAGGCAAAAGTTATACAGCCAGTTTTTAGGTTGTCTCATGAAATAACTGCAAGTTAAATGTTTTTTTTTGAAAAAATGCAAACCTGTCAAAAATACTAAAGAAATGAATCTCTCACTACCTAAACTGATGTTAAAATTTGATAAAAGTCTTCCCTGTCTTGTTTTCTATGGGAAGTTTTGCTTAAAACAAAATAGTAATAATCACTCTATGATTACTCTTATCTTCTTTTCTCACTTACCATTTTATATTTGGTCTTTCTACAAATACTTTAATTAAGCACCTATTATGGAACAGGTCCTGTGGATTCAAAGTATAAATAACACACAATCGCTGTGCTCAACAAATGCACAATCTAGTGGGGCACAGAGAACTAACGGTAAGCCCAAATGATAAGTACATCTATGAAGTTATGATGAACCAAAGATATACAATCTGAGGACACTTAACTCCTCTCTCTTAGGGAGGCATGTGAAGAAGGATGGTTTAATAAATAAAGGCTTTCTGGAAGAGGAAAGTCTGGGCTGATTTTTACTTTAATTTTTTTAGCATTTTAAAATTTATTACTGTGTTTTCACCATCAAAACTTTTTGTATAAGGCCAAAAGGCAGCCATTGGTTACTCTGACAACCTTAAAGCAGACTCCAGGAATGTCACCAACAGCATGACCTTTGTGACCAAATCTAGCAATCAGAACTTCATCATTTTCTCAATAAAATTCAAGCAACCATCACTGGATACAAAGGCTGTGAATTTTTTTTTGCCATTCTCAATCAGTTGGACCCTGACACACTACTGATGGCAGAATTTGGCTGTTTGGCTTCAATCCCCACTTTTTTCCATCATGCTTCCCTTTGCATGGGAAAGCACCTTCAAAAGGGCTGGTCTTCGGGGCTGCACCCAAATGTGCTTTCCCATACTGTTTATCACACCACTTCTGACCTAGTCAGTAGCTTTGGAGCTTCCTGACAGTACAAAGACTGCGACACTTGCTCATTCTGCCAGCGCCACAGGCCTGAGCAGAAGAGCTCTGAGCTGAGTAATGGAAGATGAGCTGGAAAGAGTTGAGGGCCAGACAGAAAAAGACATTATTTATGCTACTTTAAGAAGCCAGGTAATGGTGAATAAGTCAAAGGGTTGTCATTCAGTGGAGTGACATGGTCAGGTTTCTGTTTTAAATGGATCATATGGGTTGCTGTTTAGTATATGGGTTTGAAGAAATGAGACAAAGCCGGAATACCACATAAGAGGGTACTGCATTCACCCAAATGAGAAATAACAAGTGGCAACACAAGGGTGATGGTATGGACTTTTCTTAATCAACTTAACTAACGTGTAGTTTACATAAAATAAACTGCATGCATTTAAAGTGTATGGGTCAGTGAGTTTTGACAAGTGTATACAGCCACATAACCACAGTGAAGAGACAGAACATTTTTATCAGTCCCAGAAGTTGGTTTGTGCCCCTTTGCAGTAAATCCTTGCCTCACCCTCAGGCTCAGGTAAGTACTGATTTGTTTCTGTCACCATTAGGTAGTTTTTGGGCTTTCTTGTAATTCACACAAAAGGAATCATATATATATATATATATATATACACAACTTTTGTTACTTGCTGCTTTCATTCAACACATTTTAAAAGATTCATCCATGTTATTGTTTCTATAATTCATTCCTTTTTATTGAGTAGTACTCAATTATTGAGATATGCCAAAATTTATCCATTCTTCTACTGATGGAGGTTTGTTTTCAATTCTCAGCTGTCATAAAGCCGCTATAAATGTTTGAATACAAATGATTTTGTAAAAATGTTTTAATTTATCCTAGAAGTATTAATTGCTGTTTTTATGTAAGTGCATGTTTAACTTTAGTAAGAAACAGTGAACCAAAGAACAACTGATGTTCCCAGAGGGGAGGGAAGTGGGGCAATAGACGAAATAGGTGAAAAGGATTAAGAGATACAAAATTCCAGTTATAAAATAAGTTAAGTCACAGGGATGAAAAGCACAACATAGGAAATACAGACAGTAATATTGTAATAGCTTTGTATGATGATGGGTGGTGGCTACACTTGTTGGGGTGAGCATTTCATACTGTACATGCATATCATCTGCTCATCACTGTCCTGTATTCCTTAAACTGATGTGGTGTCATGTGTCACCTATAATTCAATTAAAAATGAAAAAAGAAGAGAAAGAACGAAAGAAAACATTAACTGTTCATTATCCAAAGTGGCTGTACAATTTTGCATTTCTGCCAGCAAAGTGTGAGAGTTCCAGTTGCTTCACAACTTCACCAATACGTGGTATTCCTGGTCTTTTTATTTTTGTCATTCTAATGGTATCTCACTGTGATTTAATTAGCATTTTTCTGATGACTAATGAAGTCGAACATCTTTTCACGTGCTAATTGGCCAGTCATGTTTTCTTTGGTGAAGTTTATTCAAATCTTTGCCCATTTTGTTTTTTACAACTTTATTAAGGTATAATTGACATTCAATAAGCCAAACAGATTTAAAGTGTACACTTTGATCAATTCTGACATACATGTGTACACCTACGAAACTATCACCACAATCATGATAATGAACATGAACCCTCACTGCAGAAGATTCCTTGTGCTCCTTTGCAAGCCCTTTTCCTCCCCATTCCCACCCCTAAGCAACCACTGTTCTGCTTCCTGTTACTTCACGTTAGTTTGAATTTTCTAAAATTCTGTATATATGAAATCACAGTATACACTTTTTTTGTCTGGCCTTTTTCACTCAGCAAAATTTTGTTATTTATCCATGTCACTGTGTGTATCAAAAATTATTTCCTTATGATTGCTGAGAAGCAGTCTGTTGTATGAATATGTGATTTGTTTATTCATTCACCAATAGATGGATATTTGGGTTGATCCCAGTTTTTGGCTATTACAAATTGAGTTGATATAAATATTCCTCTACAAGTCTTTCTATGGACATACCCTTTCTTCTCTCTTGGGTAAATATCTACAAATAGAATGCCCGGTAATATGGAAGATGTACCTTTAACCTTTTAATAAAACTGCCAAAAATTTTTCTGAAGTTAATGTGCTATTATATAATCCCACCATCAGTGTGAGCATTCCAATTGTTCTACAACCTTGCCAGTATTTGGTGTGGGAAGTCTTTTTAATTTTAATTTTAATGTGTAGTGGCATCTTGTTCTGGTTTTAATTTGCATTTTCCTGATGATTAATGATTTTGAACATCTTTTCACATACTTATTGGACATCTGTATAACTTCTCTGGTGGACTATCTGTTCAGATTCTTTGCTTTATTTATTAGTATTCTGAGTTACAAGAGCTCTCTTTATATATTCTAGAAACAAGTCCTTTGTTAGGTATTTAATTTGCAAATATATTTTCATAGTCTAGCTTGCCTTTTCACTTTTCTTAATGGCATCTTTTATTTATTTTTTTATTGAAGTATAGTTAATATAAAATATTATATTGGTTTCAAGTATACAACATAGTGATTCAACAGTTATATACATTATTAAATCCTCAGCCCAACTAGTATACTTATTACCTGTCAATATAGGAAGATGTTGCAGAACCACTGACTATATTCTCCATGCTGTACTACTATGCCTGTCACCAGCTTATACAATGACTGAGAATTTTTGTGTCCCTTTAACTCCCTCACCCTCCCCACCCACCTACTGCCCCTCCCCCATGGTAACCACCAAGTCACTTCTCAGTGTCTATGAGTCTAATGCTGTCTTGTTCATTTTGTTTTGTTTTGTTTTTAGATTCTACATAAGCAAAATCATATGGTATTTGTCTTTCTTTACCTGGCTTATTTCACTTAGCATAATATCCTCTAGGTCCACCCATGTAGCAATGGCAGGACTTCTTTCTTTTTAATGGCTAAATAATATTCCATTGTGTATATGTACCACTTCTTCTTTATCCATTCATCTAATGATGGGACACTTTGGTTGCTTCCATACCTTGATTTCTGTAAATAATGTGGCAATAAACATAGGGGTGCATATACCTTTTCAAATAATAGATTTAGTTTTCTTCAGGTAAACTCCTAGAAGTAGAGTTACTGGTTCATATGGTTTTCTATTTTTAGTCTGTTGCGGAACTGTCATACAGCTTTCCACAGTGGCTGTAGCAACTGACATTCCCATCAGCAGTGTAGGTGGGTTCCCTTTTCTCCACATCCTCACTAACACCTGTTATTTCTTGTCTTTTGGATAGTGGCCATTCTAACTGGTATGAGGCGATATCTAACTGTGGTTTTGATTTGCATTTCCCTGATGATTAGCAATGTGGAGCATCTTTTCATATGCCTGTTGGCCATCTGTATTTCTTCTTTGCAAAGCTATCTATTTAGGTCCTCTGCCCATTTTTTAATTAGGTTGTATTTTTGGTGTTGAATTGCATGAGTTCTTAATTTTGTTTGTTAAACCCTTATTGGATAAATCACTTATGAATATACTCTCATAGTTGTCTTTTTGGTTTTTTGCTGTACAAAAGCTTTCAATTTGATGTAGCCCCACTTGTTTATTTTTGCTTTTGTTTCCCTTGCCTGGGGAGACATGTCCAGAAAAAACTGCTCATGCTTATATTCAAGAGGTTTTTGCCTGTGTTTTCTTCTTAAGAGTTTTATGGTTTCATGTCTTATATTTACTTCTTTAATCCACTTTGAGTTTACTTTTGTGTATGGAGTTAGACAATAATCCAGCTTCATTGTCTTGCATGTACCCAACATTATTTATTGAAGAGACCATCTTTCCTTATTTTATATTCATGGCTCCTTTATTATATACCTGACCATATATGCATGGGTTTATTTCCGGGCTCTCTATTCTGTTCCATTGATTTATGGGCCTATTATTGTGCAAGTGCTATATTGTTTTGATTATTGTAGCTTTGTGGTGTAGCATGATGTGAGCATAATACCCCAAGCTTTGTTCTTCTTTCTGAGGATTGCTTTGGT